ACATTGAATAAGACCCTAGGTCAGAGAAATTACCCTCCATTTGATGACTGTTTTACATGGCTACCAAAAGAAGTCACACCCTTACTTCCTTCAAAGGCCCATGCAATGAAATTTAGAGAAGCATCTGAAGACAACTTTGGACCCTGTAGATCCTACATGAACTGATTTAGGGTAAACAGAACATGATGAGTAAGTAAACTGAACTAATTCCTAGACCTGTTTTTTTAAATAAAATAAAGTCAGGTTCTCTTAGGGTTTAAATGCCATCTGGCTTGACACACCCAATGAAGTGTCTCTAAACTTCTCTCTAAATTACTTACAAAACAGAAAAAGAGATAAATATTCTCAACAACTTCAAAACTGAAGAATAGGCCTTCTCTGGTGGAAGTGAAAGTGAAAGTCACTCAGTGGTGTCCAACTCTTTGCAACCCCATGGACTATACAGTCCATGGAATTCTCCAGGCCAGAATACTGGAGTGGGTAGCCTTTCCCTTCTCCAGGGCATCATCCCAACCCAGGGATCAATCCCAGGTCTCTCGCGTTGCAGGCAGATTCTTTACCAGCTGAGCCACAAAGGAAGGACTTCTCTGGTGATCCAGTGCTTAAGAATCCCCTTTATCAATACAGGGGACACAGGTTTAATCCCTGGTTCAGTAAGATCTCACATGACATGGGGTTACCAAGCCTGGGTACCACAGCTTACTGAAGCCCACAGGCTTCAACAAAAGAAGTCACCACAATGAGAAGCCCACACACAGCAATGAAGAGTAGCCCCCACTCACTTCAACTAGAGAAATCCCTGGTGCGGCAATGAGGACACAGCACAGCCAAAAAATAAATATATAATTAATTTTTTAAAAAATGAAAATGAATCACCAAGCTGTTACCAGAATCTGAAAAGAATTTCTGTTACCTAAATAAAGCTATTGAAGCTAAGTTGCATTGAAACAAACAATCCTTGTTTCACCTTGTAAAACAGGGTAGACCTAACCACCTGAAAAGTGATAAGGATACTTTGCCTTTCTCCTACTTTCTACCCCTAATTCAGAGATCCAGGACCGAACCAACACCTGGCTCTCTACTATGTGTATTACTCTTTGGATGGCCCCAGAGAACTGTTCTATCTCCCCCAAATTAACCACATCCATTCACAGAATGGAATTCCTGGGAAACCAGGAAGCAGGAAGTAGATGAGGATGAGTAGTGATGGCGCATCACACTGTGGAAGGTATTTTGCCCACACATGATGCTGTGTAGGCAGGACAAAGACAATTTGTGCTGGAGAGTAAGACTTTGACATGCTCATCAGTTCTGAATGTTAGAGAACCGAATGTTAGCGAACTTAGAGAAGTTCTGTTGTTCTGAATGTTAGAGAACTTAGAGAAGGAGGAGGAGATCTCACAGCAGTTCAGCGGGGCTGAATCCCATTAAGATGAATCTGGAAATTGCTGAGGAGCTATGCACCTCAAGTGGCCCTCCAGCTACACATCTGAAGAACAGCCCAGTGAGCAAAGCCAAGGACAAGCCACACTTCCTCTGTTAGCCATCTCCAAATCTCCATAGAGTTCTATTGCCTTATTGTAAAATGAAGAGGGGTCAGGGGTTGGGGGAGGAGAATTGGACCTACTGGAAAACAATGCCACATATGAGAAAAAAAGAGAATCACCCAGAAGACTAAGAAAAAGAGCACACTTCTGAAGATGATTTACTATAGAAACCAGAAGAAAATTTTAGGAAACTGTCATCTATAATATGAAAAATATAACATGGCCCTTTGAGGATGAAACTGAAAACCATATGGAAAGCAAGCTGAGATAAAATTGATACCAGGATAAACCTGGACACAGTGACAGACTTTATTTTCTTGGGCTCAAAAATCACTGCAGATGGTGACTGCAGCCATGAAATTAAAAGACATTTGCTCCTTGGAAGAAAAGCTATGACCAACCTAGACAGCATATTAAAAAGCAGAGACATTACTTTGCCAACAAAGGTCCATCCAGTCAAAGCTACAGTTTTTCCAGTAGTCATGTATGGATGTGAGAGTTGGACTATAAAGAAAGCTGAGCACCAAAGAATTGATGCTTTGGAACTGTGGTGTTGGAGAAGACTCTTGAGAGTCCCTTGTACTGCAGGGAGATCCAACCAGTCCATCCTAAAGGAAATCAGTCCGAATATTCATTGGAAGGACTGATGCTGAAACTGAAACTCCAATACTTTGGCCACCTGATGTGAAGAACTGACTCATTGGGTAAGACCCTGTTGCTGGGAAAGAATGAAGGCAGGAGAAGAGGACAACAGAGAGTGAGGTGGCTGGATGGCACCACCGACTCGATGGATATGAGTTTGAGCAAACTCTGGGAGTTGGTGATGGACAGGGAAGCCTGATATGCTGCAGTCCACGGGGTCGCAAAGAGTCAGACACAACTGAGCAACTGAACTGAACTGAACTGAGGATAAGGCTCAAAGACTGCCACCTGAAATGACATTATAGGTCTTACAAAAATGTGATGGGGGTAAGCTTCTTTGTTTATGCAAAGGGTAATTGCAAATCTTTTAAAATAAACAATAACAGAACTTTTATAATAAGAGAGACAACAGCTAAAAGAGCAGAGTTTTCTAAAAAAAATATTTCATCCAAAATAGCATTAGACATAGTCCAGTTATTACTCATCCAGGTTTCAGTCACTTGCTTGCAAGAGTTCTTCTTTTCTTCTTTTATCAAATGTCTGAGCTATTCAGAACTCCATGTACTCACTGGGGAAAGAAACCTTTTTTTATTTTGGCATAAATGATGGGAATGTTAAAATCTAGTAATTACTTCATTACCTCATTTGCTATAGCTTCACTGTCCAAGTTACTCTCTTTTCTTAGCAGCAACAGTAATTAAGAAAGCCAAATTCAAGGCAATTCTCACTGAAACTTTGTAAGAATTTTATGAAAATCTTTTAGAAAAGGTACATGGTGATTTCAGAATATGTATTAGAGTAAATTCAGCTGCTGTACAAATACACCCAATATTTGTATATTGGATGAAATAAAATAAAAGTTGACTTGCCACTTAGAAAACAATCTAAGGCAAATGTTTCAAGTCAGCAAGACCTCCATCCTTGGGCACCCAGGATAACAAAAGTGCCACCATTTTCATCATGTGGCCTCCTGGGTTGTCACTGTCATCTTCTGGTACTCGGCTGGAATGAGGGAAAATGAGCATGGAGAAGAGCTTAACGAATGCTCTTATGGGAAAATTCTATAAGTCACACACATCATTTGAATTCCATAGAGCTCAATTGTATGGTAAATATCCAGGGGCTTCAAACCTAGAAATGAGAATCTGACCAATGGTATCCAAGAACAGATAGAAGGGAAGCTAGTTCTGATAAGAGCTCTATCTCCAAGAAAATGAGATTGTTAAACAATAGTTAAAAGCCACATATAGGAAGCAGTGGACAAGGAAGCCTGGAGTGCTACAGTTCATGGGGTCACAGACTGAACAACATAGGAAGCAGTAAATGAGTGCAGTTGACACGCAGAAAATCAAGTATTATGGATGACAAACTTGAGAAACACTTCCAAATTGCAGAGAAAGAGAACAAAGAATTGATATTATCATATTTCACTGATTCTAAGATGTCCATCTTTTCACAACAATTCAGAAATCAGTTAAGTCTTACAATCAGTGGCATCGTACAATCACTGTGGACCTGGGAGCCGTCCCAATGAGACTGTTGTCAGGTCCTGGGCATGGCCTAACTGTGGTCTCAGCTGTTCATGTTCTAAGCACCTTAATTGAGTTATGCACATTGTTGCAATCACATGTGAGCTTAATTGCCATTTAAAATGTCTTTTAAAAGATTACACTATGATTTGGCACTAAAACAAGAAGTTATTGTGTATGCAGAAAGGCATGGAATTAGAGCAGCAGGGTGTAATTTGATATTACTGAAGCAAATATCTGTTTTAGGAGCAATGACTGAAATTCCTGTTTTAAAAAAGCCAAGTTCTTTACAGGATCCAAGAAAGGGAAAAGAAGTTATCCTTAAGTAGAAGCTTAGAAACTGTTATGTTTTGTAACTAAGATACACGCAAAAGAGATTGCCTGTCACATGCCAAACAACGCAATTAAAGGCAGGAGAAACTGTCAAATATCTCAAGATAGATGAAGTACTTCACAAGAAAGAAGCTGGTATGATCAACTTACCAGTTTCACAGGACTGTAATTATGGCATTATGTCATAGTTTAACTGGCAGCATCTTTTCTTCCTTAATAGTACATAAAATACAAGTACTGCTTACAACTGATAAAACATTGATACAGTAATTAAAGAAGAAGATGATAGCTATTGAAGACCAGGAATAAAGATTCAGCCCAAGACTTATCGTTTCTGAGGAAGGCTCTATAACAGTCAAAGAAGAAGCAATCACTGAAGATATAGCGAAAGAAAACTTTCCAAAGAGGAGTGCGGGAGAACGAAACACTCACCAGGTTCCAGGGAAAAGTAACTGACACAGACTCATGTCCAAAAATATCCTGACAGTTTTTTAAATTAAAATATAAAATATGTTTTTTGTCTATCTACATATCCAGACCCAAAAATGAACATAAAAATATCTATAAAGGAATAAAAATCATGCTGACCTTGTTCTTCTCTTCTGCAATGATAGATGCTGACAAAGTTTTGACACGGTAAAAAATTTAGACTCAGGTATTCTACTCACAGATAAGTTTTAATTTTGAGATGAGAAAACAAAAGAGACATTCATAAGAGCTCAAAGTGTCTGCCATTCATATACTGTTTAAATCACTTTGAAATATATTCCAACTGCTCAAGTGACAACTTAAAATTAGGACCACAAGAATGGGAAAATCAAAACATAAAAGGACTAGCAGTGAGCACTGAAGCCAACCACACAAAAAGACAAGTCTAAGATAATTGTTTAAATACAGTTACAAGACAGAATATGTGTCAGAAATATGTTTCAAAAATCTAAATCCAGGATACACACAACATCAAAAGTAATTTAATAACAACCCAAATTACAAACCCATATTTAATGAACTTTCAGATAAGAAGGAAGAACAGAGGGAAAGAAAAAGATACAAAAGTCATTAGTCTCCACAGTTGTGAACCTAAAAATACCATTTTACCCTTAACTTTATCACTGGGAGAAATACCGACTGGTGTTCACACACATATTTAGAACATAGTGCATAGGAGAGTAGGGGGCTGTCCGTGCAAAGATAGATAAAACTTCAACCTCTGCCTCAAGATCTTTAGTCCAAAGACCTCTAGTCAATATAGAGGATATATTTTAGTTTGTCACAAGAATAAACACATGTGAAATTCCTGGAAGAAATCTATGGAGAGCCAGTCTTCAAACGATGATTAGACTTTACTGCGTACCAATATTTTCTATTCCTTCTAGTAAAAGATTCCTAAAATCCAGTACATAAGGGTGTAGAGTTCTTCACAGTTCTTCACAGTGGTCACTCACACACCACCACCCGTGTCAGTATAAGTTGTGACAGCCCTTAAGCTGGACAGCCTTGTTCAACAGCATCGCTGTTGTCACAGAACAAGATAGAAAACTCAGACCACAAGGAAGCTCCTCACAGTGACTGTCGCGACACACACCTCACTCAGGCCTGAAGCAGTACATACATTCACAAGATGTTTTCCAGCGGAGCGGGCAGAGGCAGATCTGCAAGCCAGGAACTTCTGGTGTAAAAGTTTCATCACACCACACCACACCATTTCCCTAATTCAAGCAGAGACGGTAGAAGGAAAGAGAGGAAGAGATTCATTTTATAATTTATGAAAGTCTTAGTACAGGTGCTTCCTCTTTTACAAAAACAGTAATAATACGGCAAAGCACTGAGCTAATCCCCCTGGGCTGGCACCTCATTATTCCTCTCTCAAACATTCAGGGAGTGGGTATAGGGCTCCTTTTTCTCCCACATAACTGGTTCTGAGACCTTCCCAGGAAGTGCCCTGGTCCCTGGGGCCTGATTAGCCAGGACCAATTAATGAGCCTTCAGGCTTCTTTGTTTCTTCAGTATTCTGGACTAACCTTTCTCTTGCCAGGAATTAAGTTTAGATGGAGTCATTGATTTACTCTAAAGAGTTTAAATTCCAATGCATTGCTGCTTCCCAGAGCCTTGAGGAGGGAACAATACTTAATGCATCTCTGATAGTGGAATTTTAGACACCAACAAGGGATTTACTGCCAGCCACCCCTTAAAAAAAATTCTTCACATCACAGTATATTGAGACAGCGGTTCCTTAACTGCACACCCAGGGCCCTTGGCTCATTTCCGTGTACCTTGAACTCAATGTCTTGCACTCCTGCAAATCCTGCGGAGAGAGACTCAACCAAGGTGTAACCAGACTGGTCGAACCCCAGCTCCCAGACTCCGGGAGACATCGAGCCGCCCCTGGGGGCACCTCGCGGCTGCTTCCGTGGTTCCTTCCCCGCCAGCCCCGGGGTCAGCCCGGCCAGCCTTGGCGCCCCCGTCCCCAGCCACTCGAGCGTCTCCGAGCCGCCTGTGTCTCCGCGACCCCAGCCCGGTCTGGAGGTTTGGAGACGGCGGGCGGGCTGATGCTGCCACCTCTCGGCCACCTTCTCCCGCAGCTGCGCTCAGCGCTCTCCCTCTCCCACCTGGCAACCCGCCCCCAAACCCTCCCCAGGCGTCTGGGCCCGGGAAGGCCGTGATCACTGGGCCTGGGAGGGGGATGACCTTCCCCGCAGGGGCGGCTTCCTTTCAAACCACCCCAGCGGCGCACCAGGACCGGGTGTTCGAATGAGCGCGGCCAGCAACCACCTGCCCCACGGTTCTGGGGCTGGTGCCCACGCCCCTTCCCTGCCTGTAGATCAGAAACGCCGCCTCGTTCCCCTGGGCCAGTTTGGCCGGAAAACAACCACATTCACCCCCCCAAACCTGGGCCCTCCTGGCTGTCTAAAAGAAAGCAGGTGGGAGCACAGGTTATTAAACTTAGATTCCCTATTCAGACCCACTGAATGCGAATCTCCAGGAAGAACAGGAAACTATTTTTGCAAAGTTCTCCAGTGATCCAAATGGTGAGGCAGGCTGGAGACCCACCCTGTTAGAAAATCTACCTGACCTTTCCCCAGTACCTGCTAGTATGCATACTCACTCACTCACAAGCTGTCAAGAGACAAGCCACCCAGTATCAGCGCAGGGCTTGAAAAGAAAAGGGTTTGATTAAGGGCATCCTCACATCAAATGCAAAAGGCAAAATGAGGAGACAAGAAGAAAAGCTGAGAAAAGAAGAAAGCGAAAGGCAAAAGAGAAAAGGAAAGATATAACCATCTGAATGCAGAGTTCCAAAAAATAGCAAGGAGAGACAAAGTCTTTTTAAGTGAACAATGTAAAGAAATAGAGGAAAACAATAAAATGGAAAAGACTAGTGATCTCTTCAAGAAATAGAGATACCAAGGGAACATTTCATGCAAAGATAGGCACAATAAGGGACAGCAATAGTATGGACCTAACAGAAGCAAAAGATATTAAGGGATGGCAAGACTACACAGAAGAACTATACAAAAAAGGTCTTAATGACCCAGATAACACGGTGGTGAGATCACTCACCTAGAGCCAGACATCCTGGGGTGTGAAGTCAAGGAAATTATTACTACAAACAAAGCTAGTAGAGTTGATGGAATTCCAGCTGATCTATTTCAAATCCTAAAAGATGCTGTGAAAGTGTTGCATTCAGTTCAGTCACTCAATCATGTCCAACTCTTTGTGACTCTATGGACTGCAGCACACCAGGCCTCCCTGTCCATCACCAACTGCCGGAGTTTACTCAAATTCATGTCCATTGAGTTGGTGATGCCATCCAACTGGCTCATCCTCTGTCATCCCCTTCTCCTCCCACCTTCAATCATTCCCAGTACCAGGGTCTTTTCCAATGAGTCAGTTCTTTGCATCAGATAGCTAAAGTATTGGAGCTTCAGCTTCACCATCAGTCCTTCCAATAATAAATATTCAGGACTGATCTCCTTTAGGATTGACTGGTTGGATCTCCTTGCAGTTCAAGGGACTCTAAAGAGTCTTCTCCAACACCACAGTTCAAAAGCCTCAATTCTTTGATGCTCGGCTTTGTTTATAGTCAAACTCTCACACCCATACATGACTACTGGAAAAACCATAGCTTTCACTAGACAGATCTTTGTTGGCAAAGTAATATCTCTGCCTTTTAACATGCCTAGGTTGGTCATAACTTTTCTTCCCAGATGGTGGTTTAGTTGCTAAGTCCTGACCAACTCTTGTGATCCTGTGGGCTATAGCCTGTCAGGCTCCTCTGTCCATGGAATTCTCCAGGCAAGAATATTGGAGTGTGTTGTCATTTCTTTCTCCAGGGGATCTTCCCGAGCCAGGAATCAAACCCGGGTCTCCTGCATTGCAGGCAGATGATTTACCGACTGAGCTATTTAATTTCATGGCTGCAGTCACCATCTGCAGTAATTTTGGAGTCCAAAAAAATAAAGTCTGTCACTGTTTCCACTGTTTCCCCATCTATTTGCAATGAAGTGATGGGACCAGATGCCATGATCTTCGTTTTCTGAATGTTGAGTTTTAAGCCAACTTTTTCACTCTCCTCTTTCAGTTTCATCAAGAGGCTCTTTAGTTCTTCTTTGCTTTCTGCCATAAGGGTGGTGTCATCTGTGTATCTGAGGTTATTGATATTTCTCCTGGCAATTGTGATTCCAGCTTGTGCTTCTTCCAACCTGACATTTTGCATGATGTAATCTGCATATAAGCTAAATAAGCAGGGTGACAGTATATAGCCTTGACATACTCCTTTCCCAATTTCGAACCAGTCTGTTGTTCCATGTCCAGTTCTAACTGTTGCTTCCTGACCTGGATATAGATTTCTCAAATGGACTGGAATGGGTGAATTTCACTCAGATGACCATTATATCTACTACTGTGGGTAAGAATCCCTTAGAAGAAATGGAGTAGCCATCATAGACAACAAGAGAGTCTGATATGCAGTACTTGGATGCAGTCTCAAAAATGACAGAATGATCTCTGTTTGTTTCCAAGGCAAACCATTCAATATCACAGTAATCCAAGTCTATGCCCTGACCAGTAATGCTGAAGAAGCTGAAGTTGAACGGTTCAATGAAGACCTACAAGACCTTCTAGAACTAACACCCAAAAAAGATGTCTTTTTCATTATAGGTGACTGGAATGCAAAAGTAGGAAGTAGAGAAACACCTGGAGTAACAGGCAAATTTGGCCTTGGAGTACAGAATGAGGCAGAGCAAAGGCTAATAGAGTTTTGCCAAGCACTGGTCATAGCAAACACCCTCTTCCAACAACACAAGAGAAGACTCTACACATCGACATCACCAGATGATCAATACGAAATCAGATGGATTATATTCTTTGCGGTCAAAGATGGAGAAGCTCTATACAGTCAGCAAAAACTAGACTGGGAACTGACTGTGCCTCAGATCATGAACTCCTTACTGCCAAATTCAGACTTAAATTGAAGAAAGTAGGGAAAACCACTAGACCATTCAGGTATGACCTAAATCAAATCCCTTATGATTATACAGCTGCACTCAATATGCCAGCAAATTTGAAAAACTCATCAGTGGCCACAGGAATGGAAAGGTCAGTTTTCATTCCAATCCCAAAGAAAGGCAATGCCAAAGAATGTTCAAACTATCACACAATTGCACTCACTTCATATGCTAGCAAAGTAATGCTCAAAATTCCCCAAGATAAGCTTCAATAGTATGTGAACCAAGAACTTCCAAATGTACAAGCTGGATTTATAAAAGGTAGAGGAACCAGAGATCAAATTGCCAACATCCACTGGATCATCAAAAAAGCTGGAGAATTCCATAAAAATGTCTACTTCTGCTTCATTGACTACAATAAAGCCTTTGACAATGTAATCGCAACAAACTGTGGAAAATTCTTAAAGAGATGGGAATACCAGACCACTTTACCTGCCTCCTGAGAAACCTATATGTAGGTCAAGAAGCAACAGTTAGACCCAGACATGGAACAATGGACTGGTTCCAAATTGGGAAAGGAATACACCAAAGCTATATATTGTCACCCTGCCAATTTAACTTATATGCATAGTACATCATGTGAAATGTCAGGCTGGATGAAGCACAAGCTGGAATCAAGATTGCCAGGAGAAATATCAATAACCTCAGATACACAGATGACACCACCTTATGGCAGAAAGCAATGAAGAACTAAAGAGCCTCTTGATGAAGCTGTAAGAAGAGAGTGAAAAAGATGGCTTAAAACTGAACATTGAAAAAACGAAGATCATGGCATCCAGTCCCATCACTTCATGGCAGACAGATGGGGAAACAATGGAGAAACAGTGACAGACTTTATTTTCTTGGGCTCCAAAGTCACTGTGGATGATGACTGCAGCCATGAAATTAAGACACTTGCTCCTTGGAAGAAAAGTTATGACCAACCAAGACAGCATATTCAAGAGCAGAGACATTACTTTGCCTACAAAGGTGCAAATAGTCAAAGCTATGATTTTTCCAGTAGTCATATGTGGATGTGAGAGGTGGACAATAAAAAAGGCTGAGCACTGAAGAATTGATGCTTTTGAACTGTGGTTTTGGAGAAGACTCTTGAGAGTCCCTTGGACAGCAAGGAGATCCAACTAGTCGATCCTAAAGGAGATGAGTCCTGGGTGTTCACTGGAAGGGCTGATGTTGAAGCTGAAGCTCCAATACTTTGGCCACCTGATGCTAAGAGCTGACCCATTGGAAAAGACCCTGATGCTGATTGAAGGCAGGAGGAGAAGGGGATGACAGAGAGTGAGATGGCTGGATGGCACCATCGACTCAATGGACATGAGTTTGAGTGAACTCTGGGAGATAGTGGAGGACAGGGAAATCTGGTGTTCTGCAGTCCATGGGGTCACAAAGAGTCAGATACAACTGAGCAACTGAACAACAGCCTCACCTAGCCCAGGAGTGGGGTTCCAACCTTCTCTGTTGATAGTGCTCACAGAGGCTTGGTAATTTTTTTCACAGCCCTCTGAGGCCAAAACAAATACCTAAGGATTCTTTTCAGGAAGTATTTGGGTTGGTACAAAAATAATTGTGGTCTTGCATTGTTGAAATTTGCTGTTTGGTATTGGAATACATTCTTAAATAAATGTGGTTGCATTATACATCATTTTAATGCATATTGCTTGATCTATTTTTTTTTTTTTTTTGCTAATGATATTACTTGCTGCTTATTTTATATTTATTTTAGACTAGGGAAATGATGTTAGACCAAAAACAAATTCAAGCAATTTTCTTATTTGAATTCAAAATGGGTCATAAAGCAACAGAGACAACTCAAAATATCAACAATGCAGTTGGCCCAGGAACTGCTAACAAACATACAGTGCAGTGGTGTTTCAAGAAGTTCTGCCAAGGAGACAAGAGCGTTG